GTGTGCGTAGGATTTTTTTTTGAAATTACTACGTTCCCCAACAGGCTGGTGCCCAACCGGTTCAACAGGTAAGGTGGCCTTAAGGCCCAGTCGGACACATGAGCAGAGGGAGAGAGAAGTAGTGAACCAGTACGTGACTCCTTGGGTGACTGTGGTGATGAATATGGTGAGCTCAGTATCTTTTTTTGTCATGTTTAATGGTGTGAAGTCAGAAGAGTTTAAACCCACAAGAGGTATACGACAGGGAGATCCAATCTTTCCTTACCTTTTCTTGGTAGCAGCGGAGGGCCGTTCGTGCCTGTTAAATTCCCAGAATGAATCATCCCAGCTCAGCGGCATTAAGGTGGCGCCGGCGGTGAATCATCTTTTATTCGTGGATGATAGCCTGTTGTTTTTCAGGGCAAGTGTTAATGGAGCAGAGGAAGTTTCAAACCTATTGAATACTTACTGCATGGCATCGAGACAGAGAATAAACAAAGAAAAATCATCAATCTTTTTCAGTAAGGGCTGCCCCAAGATAGTGTGTGATTCTATCAAGGGATTTTTGCAGGTTCACAATGAATCTCTGAGCGACAGATACTTGGGTATGCCAACTGATGTGGGTCACTCAAAAAAGGGGACGTTCAAATATTTAAGTGACAGGGTGTGGGACAAGGTAAAGGGTTGGATGAGCAAATGCCTTTCAGCTGGCGGCAAAGATGTTCTCATTAAGTCAGTAGCCCAAGCCATCCTGGTTTACTCTATGTCATGCTTCAAGCTCCCGAGGGGATTGTGTGATCACATCAAGTCTATTATCAGGAAATTCTGGTGGGGATGTAAGCAAGGTGAGCGCAAGCCGACTTGGGTTTCTTGGGACGTGATGACTCGGCCAAAGCATTTGGGAGACCTTGGCTTTAGGGATCTCGAGATTTTTAATTTGGCTTTACTTGCTAGACAAGCATGGAGGCTTCTCCAGGAACCAGCAAGCCTGAGTGCAAGAATTCTAAAAGTTGTTTACTATCCGGACAAGTCAATCCTTAATGCGGAGTTAGGGACTAGACCCTCACAAATTTGGTGTGCTATCTTGGAAGGAAGAGATTTATTACAGCAAGGCATCATAAGGCGGATTGGTAATGGGCAAACGACAGATATTTGGGCTGACAACTGGATAACGAAGGAGATGACACCACGACCGATCGCGTCGCTAGTGGCGAATCCTCCAAGGTATGTGTCAGAGCTCTTGATCCCGGCGACAACGTCATGGAATGAGAACCTGATCCGCAATGTTTTCCTTCCAATTGATGCCAATGCCATATTAAAAATCCCTATTTGCACTCGCAACATACTAGACTTCTGGGCATGGCACCCGAAGAAGAAAGGAAATTTCAGTGTTAGTTCGGCCTATAGATTCCTTCAAAAAACCAAGTTACAGAGGGAGGAGTGGCTCGAAGGAAGGAGTGGATCCTCTAATGGTGAACAAGAGAAAAAATCATGGTGTTCGTTATGAAAATTAAAGGTGTCGTCGAAGGTCAGGATCTTCCTTTGGAGGCTTGCTCACCACTCGCTACCAACGACGGACACTTTGCAGAGGCGAAACATGGCGGTACAGGCTACATGTCCGCTATGCGGCTGCATTGATTCATGGAGACATGCACTGGTGTCGTGCACGATGTCACGCTGCGTGTGGGCTCTATCAGATGAGGCACTTGTTTCCCAAATGTGTGAGAACTTGGAAGCTAACACACGGATTTGGTTATTCCAGTTGAATGAATCCCTGGACCACGCAAGCTTCACGCAGCTGGTAATTACACTATGGTCTATATGGTTTGCAAGGAGGAAGGCTATATATGAATCAATTTTTCAAAGTCCACAACATACCACATCCTTTGTGAACAATTACATTGATGAGCTGGGCAGTTATATGCTAGGAAGGAGCATCAAATAACACAAAGAGCAGCACCTACACAGCAGAAAAGGTGGCTTCCACCTCCGAATGGCAAGGCAAAGATTAATGTGAACGGAGCAGTGGCCAGGTCTCGGCGTGGAGGGGCTGCTGCAGTGATATGCCGGGACCAGGACGGCCTATATCTGGATTCATCGACGGTTGTTTTTCAGGGAATCACGGATCCGGTGATGCTCGAGACTTATGCTTGTAGGAAAGCGTTGGCATTGGCAGGAGATCTTGCGACAACCAACATATGTATGGCCTCGGATTGTCAAGAAGTGGTCAATGACATTAACAGAGGGACAGGAGGTCCCAACGCTGCCCTTATACATGAAATAATGCTTCGGTGTAATAGTTTTAATTCATACTCGTTTATTCATGAACTTAGAAACCACAATTATAAGACTCATAATCTCGTCAACTTTGCTTGTACTCTAGGACTAGGTAGACATGTTTGGTTGGGCAACCCTCATAACCCAAATCTTATACCTATGTCGCTTGTTCTTGAATGAATAAAGTTTGGCGAGAATTCCTAAAAAAAACAGTACGTGACTCCTCGAATCACTTGGCGATGGAATTCAACCGTAATCTAGGCACCTCCCGGTTTCCCTATTTCTGGGATGGCTCGAAACCCTGCTCTAGCCTTTTGTACGTAGCTCCTTAGATTCAAGAAGCTACCTTCCTGGAGCAGAACCGTTCGACCCAGCTCCAACGCAAATTTAGTAAATCCGAAAGCTGGCCAACTACCGAACATGTCCTAAGAAACACGAAAGGGACGTGTCCACGCTCGTAGGACTGTCGACAAGGCCGGCGGATGGGTAGAGGAGGGAGGCCGAGGCAGCAGTGTGGAGGAGATCTAGGTCGAAGGTAAGTAATGTTTAGCACTCCAAGCTATCTGATTTGAAACAAATTCGCCCTAGCCCCCTAGCCCTCCTTTTAGTATAGTTAACTCCCTAACAAAACTAGAAACGACTACTGACCATAATGCTGGTACCTAGCCGCCGCGCTAGGGTTCCTCCTGTCTCCCGCCGGTTCCGTGCCGGTCTACCTCGTCTGCTCTGGTCTTAGGACCATGAAGGCGTGGTGGATCTCGGCCCCTTGCCGGTGGGAGGGCTTGATTTTTTTGATACTTTTTTAAGCTTTTTTAGAGTTTATGTCCTACTTAGAGAGATGAGTCGGCGGCAACTCTCTAAAGATGGAATAAGATTCTCCTCGCCTAGCCCCGTCCCTATGGTGCTTCTAGCGTTATCGGAGGGCGTGTGGAGATTTATCTCTGGTGGATCTCACGGGATTCGGTCGGCGTTTGTCTTTGGTGGATCCACATGGATCCGCTTTGTCCGTGTCTGTTCGTGTGTCTACAGGTTGGATCTTTCCGATCTAAACTTCTCTTCAACGGCGACGGTTGCTGTTCTAGTGCGCTGGTCCTATAGGGCCTTAGCACGGCGACTTCCCGACTGTCTACTACATTAAGTTTTGCCCGACTCTAGGGAGGGAGGGCTGATAACGGCGGCGCGCCTTAGACTCGCTTCAATGTTTGTAGTCGTCGCTAGATTGGAAGTAGTCTCGCAAAAAAAAAAAAAACTCCCTAACAAAACTGAATCACGTATTTATTGAGGAATTTGACAATTTGTTATTAAGTTCATTGTAATTTCAAGAATAACTACAAACTTGATCCAGTCATGATAAAATGTAAACCAGGACTAGTTCGGGATAAATAATTTGCACTGGAGAAAAAGAAAGAGAGAGAGGCCAGATCATTACAATCGTATCCAGAACATGCGGGAGATTTCAGTAGTTTCAACTGGCATTCCGATGTTTTAAGAGCATGTTGGATTTTGCAGACTCGATGAATTCGAGTACTTTGACCTGTTAATGTTAAAATCCATGCATCCCAGTTCTACTCTCTCCACTTCTAAATACTCCTATAAGTCTTTTTAGAGATTTCAATATGTATTACATACCACCTACTCCCTCCGTCCGCGAATAAGTGTACATCTAGGTTTTGTCCTAAGTCAAAGTTCTAATACTTTGACCAACTTTATAGGAAAAAGTAGTAGCAATTATGTCACTAAATTACTATCAATAGGTTCATTTTGAAATGTAGTTTCATAATATACCAATTTGATGTCATATATACTACTATTCTTTTCTATAAAGTTGGTCAAAATTTTAAAACTTTGACTCACGATAAAACGTAGAAGTACACTTATTCACGGACGGAGGGAGTACTGCTGTCCGGCATAAACAAGGATAACCAGATCCAAGATTGTTCCAGTTTGGCAAGATTGAACCAGTTTCTTTTTTATTTTACCGCAGGTCTAGGAGCTGAACCGTCCCTAGGAGGGCTGGTTCTCATCCTGCCGTTGTTGATCCAGAAAATCCAAATTCAACAGTCTAACCAGAATCAATGAACACAAACAAAAGGGTTATGGGAACATTTCAAACAAAACAAGAATTGGAAACACAAGCATATGTTAACTATGACTGAGTGAACTATATTCTCCAGTAGGTGTGTAAAGCTGCAGATTGTTTGATACCATCAATGGAAAACCATGTAAGTTTATAAAGGAAATTAAGCCTTCTTTATACCCTCTGCATATGCTGTACCTTACATTGAAAAGCCAATCCAGAAGGAGATAACAAATAAATCCTCCTAATGCATAAAATCAGGGCAAGATCAATATTTAGCAATGGTTGATAGCAAATTGCATAATAAAGATTTTGCTTGCAGGAAATTAAACATTTCAAGCATATATAATATATTGTTTCACATTTGCCCCATAGGAGCTAAAAGAGCAACATCCATAATTATTACATGGAAGCAAATAGATCAATGACTAAGTTCATTCTTAGAACTAAACATTCCCATTGGAGGGTTGGTTACAAATTCTTGATGACTCCTCAAAGAAAAAGAAGGGTATGCACATGCGCCTAGATACTAAATGAAAAGAAAAAAAATACAAATTGAAGCGCATGTCTGCTTTATCCATCACACAGCTTCAACTAGAAGATTCGGCATATACCCCACAACTCATGTTTACTAAGACACTAGTGCCATACCAAGTATATTAAGCGTTCACTGACCATTTGATGTCCATTCTGCAAAACAGGGTACGTAAGGCAGTAGGCGGCGTGGCAGACCTTTGAAGAAATCTTCAGAAGCGCAGATAACATAGACTTTCTGATTATCCATGTTATATGATAATATCTTGGCATTTCCATCAGTAAGGAAAATCAAATCACATTCTGCATGAATTGCAAACATCGAGTAGTACTCAACGTTTTTGCAATAATCCCTTCCAAACAGTTCAAAACAGTTAATGGTACACTTTAGGGTCCACTGTCCACTATCATAATTCTCAAGAACCCAAATAGAGAGTTGGCAACCATCTTGATCCTCTTGCCAAACATGCAGACGTCCCTGTGACTGCCCAATGGAAGCACAACCATAGCTGTTTGGCATGCCAGGTGGCATTTCAATTTCCCCCCAAGCATTCCTTTTCATGTCCACTGTGACTATTGACGAAGATCGAGTAGGGAAATACATAATGCCATTTAGGAAGGTGCTTTCTGAATCACTAACCCAATATGCACTGCTATCATTGTGCTGACTCTGCATGGAAGTCCACCCTCCAGTTTCCGATGAGTAGATCATGGCCACGGACAGGCCATATTCATAATATGTGTCCAGGGGCACAAACACCACAAAGCGGGACGGGGTGGCCGGGTCAAAGCTCAAGAAGTATTTGCCTAGGCTGAAACACGAAAGGTCGTCAGGCAATTCTATAGGAGGCAACACCGTCCACTCATGAGTAGCAGGATTACAGACAACATAATCAAACTCCTTAGCCTCAGGCCATTTGAAACATTGCCCGGGTCCTGGATTTGGGACAGAATTCCAACTGTATTGCCTAGGACGGCGGGATCTCCAGCATTTGCAAAGGAGAAGGCTGGTGCTGCACTGTTGGATGCTGAAAAATTTATAGCTGCCGCGGAGGAAACGGAGATTGGGGTTGACGATGGGGGGACTTTTCCCGGACAAATTGTGGAAACGCCAGCCGAAATTGAAGTAGAAGAAACCAGACAAGGTCTGCGGCGACCTCTTGCGGACGTCGGGGGCAGAGCAGAGGGCTAGCCATTGTTTGGACACGCACTTGAAGTGGAAGAGCGAGACGTAGGGCACCCGCGACAGGATCTCCACGAGAACGTCCTCCGGGAAGAAGCTCGCCGGGGTCTCCTCCTCCTCCCCCTGCTGCTCATCCTCCCGCCTCATCTTCTTGTTCTAAAGATGTGGTAAAGACATTTCATTTAGGTCACGGATCGATTTCACGGATCAAAGAGCAGAAGAGGCGAGGAACACACCTGAGAGGCGACGGGAGTGACGGCGAGGTAAGGCAGCAACGGCGTCGGCGGCGAACGGGATGGGGCCTCCTCGTCGCGGCACTCGTGGCCAGTCGCCGGTGGGTGGTCCTTCCCGAATCTTTGTTCGCCCGTTCCTCCTCCTCCTCCTCCTCCTGGAGGCATTGCGGCTCGGCTGCTCGAGCGTTGTCGCCGGCAGGCCGCACAGGTCGTCTGGTGGAGCGAGGGTTTGGTAGGGGGAATGTAGCAGGGAGGGCGGCGGCGTTGGACTTGTGTGGTCACTCGTTCGCGAGAAGAAAGAGTCGTGGGCTTGTTTGGTCGGCCCAACTGAGCCATCGGAAAGCTGATATGTCTTTCAGTTATCAGAAAGCCCAACTCTGATATGTCTTCTTCTTTTTCTCAAAAAGAAAAAAACGTAATGTCTTCTTCTAAGCTTCAGTATTCATGAAAAGCTGAACAAATGAACTGAAGAATTGCAGACACACCAGAGGTGCATGAGTTAAAGTGACGAGATACAAATTTGAAGGTACCTTAGTACGTAGCATATGACAGTAGGCTTGTATAGCGGCAGACTGTTTGGTACCATCAATGGAAGACTAATATAAGTTTCATACAGGAAACTAAGCTTTCTTTGTAACCTGTGTAAGTCCGTATATGCTGTAACGTACATTAGTGTAGTGTCAAAAACGTTCTTTTATTATGAGACTAATGTAAAAAACGCTTTTATATTATGGGACGGAGGGAGTAGTTCTGATATGTTCTGGGCCCGCCCTTCAAATGTTAGGAGCACTTGAAGTTCCGAGACACCCTTAAAAACTAATTGAACCTTTCAGATGGAAAAATAAAGGGCGGCGCTACGCGTCGGCCGGCGGACGCGTTATAATGATCCGTCGGTTGGACAACCGTTGGATCAGAGCGCTAACAGCCGTTCGATGTAACCACCTCGCGCCAGCTGACCCCTCTTTAATTCCCGCAACAATGGCTCTGTTTCAGAAACAGACTCCCCTGTTCACTGTCCCTGACAAAGCTGCACCCAGCACGATGCCGCCCCAAACCACCGCAAAAAATCAGCTGCTGCCGGCGCGCAGCGGCAAGTAATCCTTGTTCCCTTTGTCGTATTCCTGCAACAAGATCATTGTTGCAAAAATTGCAAGAACATCGCTGGCCTCTTCCCTAGATTCCTGCAATAAGATCCGTGTTGCAAAAATTGCAACAACATCTCCGGCCTCATCTATGCATTCCTGCAACAAGACCATTGTTGCAAAAAAATCTTCTATGTATTCCTGCAACAAGACCCTTGTTTCAAAAATTACAACACGACCTCTTCTCCGTATTCCTGCAACAATACTTTGTTGTGAAAATTCTGCCTGAAGCACTTGTAGTATCATGTAGTGAATTTCCTCCAAACCTCGATGGTGAGTAACACACGCATGTAGCATCCAGGGCCTAGCCTACAACGCGGGAGCCTTGAAGTAGGCATGCCATGGATCTGGCCAACAAGGCGTGTCCCATGCATGAGGCGTGTCCCCGATGCAGCAGCATAGTAAGGAGGAGAGAGGAGATGAGAGAGGTGGATGAGCAGCGCCGGCTCAAGGAGAAAGAGTGGGGGAGATGGAAGCAGACGGGGTGGACGAAAGGAGAAGAAAACGATTCCATCGAGAAGCTTCATGAATGGGAGGCGTGGACGTTGGCGTGAGGATAAGAACGAGCTGGTCCCACGAGGACACGCGTCGCAAGCGTGAGGAGGCGGATGGGCGATGAAAGATCTGTCGGGTGACCACAAAGCTTTTACCGAAAATAAAGGCAGCTAATAGGTGTCATCAGACTGATTTCCTTAAAATTCGGGTCACGAGTCGTCCAACCATGTGTTTTTTTGAACCAAAATGGGTTTCCCCCCACCCAACTTTATATAAAGCCAAGACAAAGCCAACCAACATAAAACTGTTAACAGCGCTCGACGGCAACCGGAGAGTAGCTGCCATAGACGGAAAGCAAGGTTTAACTGCCCTATTACAAGTTTTAAGGCGGATCTAGACAGGATACATAACCAGGCGGCAACATGCCAGCTTACTTTTTAAGATCAAAGTTAAGATTTGCAAGCTAGCAGAACACAACCCAGCGATGCCCCCGACGACAGCATTAGCGCCATACAATCCTAAGCGATTCCCCTCTTCGGTGGTCCAATAGCCTTAAGCACCGGAGAAGAATCGCACCCTGAGCCTCTGAACATAGGATTTTCCATTGCCCGATCGTTGCCCCCAACAGGTCCAAAATACACCATATACTTCGCCATCTTCACCCCTAGAAAACAATGTTTAAAGCTTCAAAATATTTTCTCCTCTTCCAGAAGGAAGCCAGCAGAACAAAGGAATCAGGTGCAGTAACATTAAAGCTATCAGCTACCAAATCCCAAACATGTCTAGCAACAATGCAATCAAAGAATAAATGTTGGATAGTTTCAGGCTCACTGCAGAAGACACAAGACATGCCATCTACATTCCTGCGCTTGGCAAGATTATCTCTAGTTAAGCTCTTATTATAGTAGATCAACTAGAGGAAAACATGGATGTTGGGTGGGACTCTGATTTTCCAGATATCATCTTTAATTACAGATGATATCCCTCCAAAGTTAATTACCTTATAAAAGTATTCGACAGAGTACTTGCTGGAAGAATCTAGCATCCAGACAGGCTAGTTTGGGGAACCAGATAGAACACTGGCTCAACAACCTTGATGAGCTCCTTCCATCTAACTAAAGTACTTTCCACAACACATCTCCTAAAAGTTAAGCGTAATTCGCCACTCACCCAGACCTGTGCAAGGGTAGAATCTTGCTGTTGACAAATAGTATACAGGCCCCAAAATGCAGTTTTAAGAGAACAATCTCCAATCCAGATGTCATGCCAGAAGGCAATGCTTTTACCATCCCCAGGGATCCATCTATAGAAGTTTTTAGAGGCTGCAAGAGCCCATGATAAACTTTTCATAAATGGAGATCCCAGGGTCACCCTAGTGTTAAAGAGATTAGGGATATTAGTCTTATACTTGTAGGTCAGCATTTTCTTCCAATCACTATCCCTGTCATCATAGAATCTTTTTCCCCATAAGGACAAAAAGTCCATGTTGAACTCTCTAAGGTTGGGAATGAAGGAAATATTAACTAGAGACAATAATAAAGTTGTTATTTATTTCCTTATATCATGATAAATGTTTATTATTCATGCTAGAATTGTATTAACCGGAAACTTAGTACATGTGTGAATACATACAAACAGAGTGTCACTAGTATGCCTCTACTTGACTAGCTCGTTGAATCAATGATGGTTATGTTTCCTAACCATAGACATGAGTTGTCATTTGATTAACGGGATCACATCATTAGAGAATGATGTGATTGACTTGACCCATCTGTTAGCTTAGCACGATGATCGTTTAGTTTACTGCTATTGCTTTCTTCATGACTTATACATGTTCCTATGACTATGAGATTATGCAACTCCCCATTATCGGAGGAACACTTTGTGTGCTACCAAACGTCACAACGTAACTGGGTGATTATAAAGGTGCTCTATAGGTGTCTCCGATGGTACTTGTTGAGTTGGCATAGATCGAGATTAGGATTTGTCACTCCGATTGTCGGAGAGGTATCTCTGAGCCCTCTCGGTAATGCACATCACTATAAGCCTTGAAAGCAATGTGACTAATGAGTTAGTTGTGGAATGATGCATTACAGAATGAGTAAAGAGACTTGCCGGTAACGAGATTGAACTAGGTATTGAGATATCGACGATCGAATCTCGGGCAAGTAACATACTGATGACAAAGGGAACAACGTATGTTGTTATGCGGTTTGACCGATAAAGATTTTCGTAGAATATGTAGGAACCAATATGAGCATCCAGGTTCCGCTATTGGTTATTGGCCGGAGACGTGTCTCGGTCATGTCTACATAGTTCTCGAACCCGTAGGGTCCGCATGCTTAACGTTCAGTGATGATCGGTATTATGAGTTTATGTGTTTGATGTACCGATGGTAGTTTGGAGTCCCGGATGAGATGGGGCTAATGACGAGGAGTCTCGAAATGGTCGAGACGTAAAGATCGATATATTGGACGACTATATTCGGACATCAGAAATGTTCCGAGTGATTCGGGTATTTTTCGGAGTACCGGAGAGTTACGTGAATTCGTCGGGGAGTATATGTGCCTTATTGGGCTTTAGGGGAAAGAGAGAGAGGAGGCTGCGCGTGCCCCAAGGCTTAGTTCGAATTGGACTAGGGGGAGGGGTTGCGCCCCTCCTTCCTTCTCTTCTCTTTTCCATTTCCTTCTCTCCTACTCCTACTACATGGAAGAGGGGAATCCTACTCCCGGTGGGAGTAGGACTCCCCAGGGCGCACCATAGAGAGGGTCGTCCCTCCCCCTCCTCCACTCCTTTATATACGGGGGAGGGGGCACCCCATGGACACACAAGTTGATAAGTTGATCTTTTAGCCGTGTGCGGTGCCCCCCTCCACCATAATCCACCTCGGTCATATCGTAGTGGTGCTTAGGCGAAGCCCTGCGTCGGTAGTTTCATCAACACCGTCATCACGCTGCCGTGCTGACGGAACTCTCCCTCGAAGCTCTACTGGGTCGTGAGTTCGTGGGACGTCATCGAGCTGAACGTGTGCAGATCTCGTAGGTGTCGTACGTTTGGTACTAGGATCGGTCGATCCTGAAGACGTACGACTACATCAACCACGTTGTCATAACGCTTCCGCTTACGGTCTACGAGGGTATGTGGACGACACTCTTCCCTCTTGTTGCTATGCATCACCATGATCTTGCGTGTTCGTAGGATTTTTTTTCGAAATTACTGCATTCCCCAACAGTGGCATCCGAGCCAGGTTTATGCGTAGATGTTATATGCACGAGTAGAACACAAGTGAGTTGTGGGCGATACAAGTCATATTGCTTACCAGCATGTCATACTTTGGTTCAGCGGTATTGTTGGATGAAGCGGCCCGGACCGACATTACCCGTACGCTTACGCGAGACTAGTTCTACCGACGTGCTTTGCACACAAGTGGCTGGCGGGTGTCAGTTTCTCCAACTTTAATTGAACTGAGTGTGACTACACCCGGTCCTTGTTGAAGGTTAAAACAACACTAACTTCATGAAATATCATTGTGGTTTTGATGCGTAGGTAAGAACGGTTCTTGCTCAGCCCGTAGCAGTCACGTAAAACTTGCAACAACAAAGTAGAGGACGTCTAACTTGTTTTTGCAGGGCATGTTGTGATGTAATATGGTCAAGACGTGATGAGATATAAATTGTTGTATGAGATGATCATGTTTTGTTAAAGTTATCGGCAACTGGCAGGAGCCTTATGCTTGTCTCTTTATTGCATAAGATGCAAGTGCCATGTAATTGCTTTACTTTATCGCTATGCGATAGCAATAGTTGCAAAAGCAATAGCTGGTGAGACGACCATGTGACGACACATTGATAAAAGATCAAGATGATGGAGATCATGGTGTCATGCCGGTAACAATGGAGTTCATGACAGTACTTTGGAGAGATCAAAGGCACAAGATGGCGATGGCCATATCATGTCACATATTTTTGATTGCATGTGATGTTTATCTTTTATACATCTTATTTTGCTTAGTTCGGCGGTAGATTTATAATATGATCTCTCACTAAATTTCAAGGTACAAGTGTTCTCTCTGAGTATGCACCGTTGCCAAAGTTCGTCGTGCCGAGACACCACGTGATGATCGGGTGTGATAAGCTCTACGTCACATACAACGGGTGCAAGCCAGTTTTGCACACGCAGAAATACTCGGGTTAAACTTGACGAGCCTAGCATATGCAGATATGGCCTCGGAACATTGGAGACCGAAAGGTCAAGCATGAATCATATAGTAGATATGATCAACATAATGATGTTCACCATTGAAAACTACTCCATCTCACGTGATGATCAGACATGGTTTAGTTGATTTGAATCACGTGCTCATTTAGATGACTAGAGGGATGTCTATCTAAGTGGGAGTTCTTAAGTAATATGATTAATTGAACTTAAATTTATCATGAACTTAGTCCTGATAGTATTTGCATATCTATGTTGTAGATCAATAGCTCGCACATAGCTTCCCCGATTATTTTTGATATGTTCCTAGAGAAAAATAAATTGAAAGATGTTAGTAGCAATGATGCGGATTGGATCCGTGATCTGAGGATTATCCTCTCATTGCTGCACAGAATAATTATGTCCTTGATGCACCGCTAGGTGACGGACCTATTGTAGGAGCATATGCAAACGTTATGAACATTTGGCAAAGCTCGGTATGATGACTACTTGATAGTTTAGTGCACCATGCTTTACGGCTTAGAACCGGGACTTCAAAAAATGTTTTGAACGCCACAGAGCATATAAGATGTTCCAAGAGTTGAAATTAGTATTTCAGACTCATGCCCATGTCGAAAGGTATGAGACCTTTGACAAGTACTTTGCCTACAAAATGGAGGAGAATAGCTCAGTGTCACGCCCTCGATGCGACTATATCTCCCATGTGTCGAAGCACGACTTAGATGTTGGGGAACGTAGCATAAATTCAAAATTTTCCTACGTGTCACCAAGATCTATCTATGGAGTCATCTAGCAACGAGGGAGGAGTGGATCTACATACCCTTGTAGATCGCGCGCGGAAGTGTTCAAGAGAACGGGGTTGATGGAGTCGTACTCGTCGTGATCCAAATCACCGATGATCCTAGCGCCGAACGGACGGCACCTCCGCGTTCAACACACGTACGGAGCAGCGACGTCTCCTCCTTCTTGATCCAGCAAGGGGGAGGAGAGGTTGATGGAGATCCAGCAGCACGACGGCGTGGTGGTGGAAGTAGCGGGATTCCAACAGGGCTTCGCCAAGCGCTACGGAAGAGGGAGATGTGTCACGGGAGGCAGAGGGAGGCGCCAGGGCTTGGGTATGGTTGCCCTCCCTTCCCCCCACTATATATAGGGCCAAGTGATAGGGGGAGGGCGCAGCCTTGCCCCTTCCTCCAAGGAAGGGTGCGGCCAAGGGGGGGAGGAGTCCATCCTCCCCAAGGCACCTCGGAGGTGCCTTCCCCCTTTAGGACTCTCCCCTCCTCTTGCCCCTTTGGCGCATGGGCCTCTAGGGGCTGGTGCCCTTGGCCCATGTAGGCCAAGGCGCACCCCCTACAGCCCATGTGGCCCCCGGGGCAAGTGGCCCCACCCGGTGGACCCCCGGGACCCTTCCGGTGGTCCCGGTACAATACTGGTGACCCCGAAACTTGTCCCGATGGCCGAAATAGCACTTCCTATATATAATTCTTTACCTACGGACCATTCCAGAACTCCTCGTGACGTCCGGGATCTCATCCGGGACTCCGAACAACTTTCGGGTTACCGCATACTAATATCTCTATAACCCTAGTGTCACCGAACCTTAAGTGTGTAGACCCTACGGGTTCGGGAGACATGCAGACATGACCGAGATGACTCTCCGGTCAATAACCAACAGCGGGATCTGGATACCGATGTTGGCTCCCATATGTTCCACGATGATCTCATCGGATGAACCACGATGTCAAGGACTTAATCAATCCCGTATGCAATTCCCTTTGTCTAGCGGCATTGTACTTGCCCGAGATTCGATCGTCGGTATCCCGATACCTTGTTCAATCTCGTTACCGGCAAGTCTCTTTACTCGTTTCGTAACACATCATCCCGTGATGAACTCCTTGATCACATTGTGCACATTATGATGATGTCCTACCGAGTGGGCCCAGAGATACCTCTCCGCCACACGGAGTGACAAATCCCAGTCTCGATTCATGCCAACCCAACAGACACTTTCGGAGATACCCGTAGTGTACCTTTATAGCCACCCAGTTACGTTGTGACGTTTGGCACACCCAAAGCACTCCTACGGTATCCGGGAGTTGCACAATCTCATGGTCTAAGGAAATGATACTTGACATTAGAAAAGCTTTAGCATACGAACTACATGATCTTTGTGCTAGGCTTAGGATTGGGTCTTGTCCATCACATCATTCTCCTAATGATGTGATCCCGTTATCAACGACATCCAATGTCCATGGTTAGGAAACCGTAACCAT